TCTGCTTTCTTAGTCAAGAATTTTGTTGAACAGAACATAATTTACACTTGCTAATTTCAGCAGAAAATATTATAGTATGGGTTGTTAGTTAATTCACAGAAATTGGAATTGCTAATGAAAATAGATCTCCTCTGAGCTTTCTGAAAATTCCCATGCTATTCTACAGTAATATATAGGAACACAACAGCTGTCACCTCTTTTAAAAAAATTGTTTATTTATGCATATAGACTGGGGTACAGACCAGAGGTGCAGGGGCAGTGGGAAGAGTCACCAAACACAGAGTGGAGAGCAGAGCAGAACAGGGAGATTGATGAAGTACACTGCTGAGGGGAGCAGCAGGCTGGTCTGCTGTGTAGGTTAGCTCCCTGGTGAGGGATCAAACTCATGCTGCATCTTTGTAGTGTTGCACTTTAACCCACTGCCCCACCAAGGAGGGCCCTGCCACCTCTTCAGTAACCAAAAAGTCACCTGCTAAATAAAAAGTCAGATACAGAGTGGCAAAAGCCACGCCCTGTGACAGTCCAGAGGCTGCATGCCCAAGACTGTCTCTTGATACTCACAAAGGCAGTGACTGCTTTAGCATGGTTGCCCTGTGGCCATTGTTACTAGCAGAGAGAGTAAAGTGTGAGCACTGCCTCTTTCCTTCTTCCAGATCTCAGGCATAGACAAAGCTAAGTTTCATCTAGTACCCTAGCTGCAAGGGAATCTAGAAAATGTAGTTTCTAGGGTTCAGGCTTTCTGCTTTTGAGGAAGGAATTGATTGGAATGAATGTCAATAGTTAATCCCTTACAAATAACATTTATATGAGAAAAATATGTGTAACCACCCCAGAGGATTATTTTAAAGATTACATAAAGTAGGAAGTATAATGTACTTTGCACAGTGCCTGGCACATGGGAAACTCTCAATAAATGTAGATTTTTTTTTTTTTTTAGTTTCTCAGAAAGTCAGAGGAAAAGTCAAAGGACCTAGATGTAGCTCCAATTTCCCACCTGCTAAATAAGTGAATTTGGTGTTCCCACTTAACATAGAAAAGCTATGTTTCTTTTCCTGAAATTGAGGACAACCCTCACTGTCTTATAAAGTTTCTGCTCATATCACTTTAGGTGATAGTTGAAAAGTGGTTTGAAAACTGGCAAACATACCAATTATCTTTATGTTAAGTGGGTCTTTGGTGAGTTAGGGAACTACAGACGCCTGCTCAAACCCAGCTCTGCCCTGACCACTGCAGCTGGCTTCCATTAGTTTTATCTGGACGCTCTTTTGCCCTCTCTTTAATTTTCAGAATTAGCCAGGGAAATCAGACAATTTTGACACATGGCTGTGAGGACAGTGAGGCTCAGGCGCTGGGATAACCACCTCCTTCAAGGGGGAAGATGAGCCCTACTCAGTTCATCAAAGCCACTACCCCAAGTTCTTTACAGAAGCCCCTCTATACGAGTTTCTGTGACTGGAGGGCCAAACCAGGAGGCCCAGACTCAGGAAGAGACAGGTGGCTCCGGCGTGAACACTGTAACACATTCTCCCCAGGGAGAGAAATTCTGAGAGTTTAGCTCACTCTTTCCTGCCATAAAGCACACTGAATGTTAACAGCTTGCTCCTGTCCAAGCTGGTGTTTTTTAAATTAAGTATTGTTAAATCCATACCATTTGGAATGATGTTTCAGACAGCCCTGACACTCTCTCTTGCTTCTGCTTTCATTTCACCTAATATATTGTGCAGGGAGCTGGGAACCAGTATTACAGTGTCCTCACTGCTATTGCTGCTCAGACACTGGCAGACGGCTTTAATTTAGATACCTGAAAAGGAAAAAAGGAACTCGGCCAACGCCCTGCTCAGATGCCATAAGGGGCCTTTCCCAAGATGCCTTTAGTATGGATCTAGACTACCAAGAGTTTAGGTTATTTTCTTCTTGGCACTGAAAAAGGTTTTGGGAATGACAAAGTGGGGAGACAGAGAAGCTGTAGACTAAAATCAGATACTTTCCATTGTCAGGTAACATATATCCATAGTAAAATCTGGAGAGTCTGCCTTCTGCTGTCGTCTTCACTATAATCCATGCCCCAGCAGTGTGATACCTCTTCAACAATGTATCCAAATGCATGTGTGCAATACATACAAACACATGTGCATACATGCATGTACACATGAACACTTACACAAACTCATGCAGAGGTATATACATGGGTATATGTATGTATATGACATAAGAGTGCTTTAGAATCAAAGGCTAATGCTTGCCCCTTGGACCTGTGGCAAGTCACTCAGCATCTCTGATCCTCAGTTTCCACCTGTGTAAAATGGGGTAAGTACATAATTAACTTTACAGCATAGTCATAAAGGTCAAGTGAAACTAAATGGAAAATCATTTTGTAAACTTTCCAGATACTTTAAAGACTCCACATAAACTTTGGTAATGATCAAAATTAGCTGATCCCATAAATTTTCCCCCATCACTCTTGCCCAAATTGATTTTATTCTCTTTTTATCAGAAATAAAAGTGTTAACCCTGCAGTGTATAATTCTGGATTATGCAATTGCTTTTTCTTGTTTCTCTGGGCATTCCTGATAGAAAAGGAAATGCTGTGAGCAGAGGGACAGGAAGCCTGGGACACTGTGGAGGGCATCTTGCAATCATTCAAAACATGCAAGCAGGCTTGAATTTAAAATACCATAGTATTCAGCAACATCATTGAGGTGACCATCTTGCTCTACATTGGCATGTTCATCAAACTCCAAGGCAGACTCACCATATCTAGGCAGTGCTTTTTTTTTCCAAAGCAGAAAGACATCTAGAGCGATATATAAGTAGCTGCTGGTTAATCTATGATTAAGCCAATTTCTGTCCTGCTTCTTTACAGACTGTATCTTTGCACAAGTCATTGCTTCTATTCCTGCTCTCACTACCTATTCCCTTTGGAGCTATCTAATAAGCGATGTTTGTATATGAGGAGGAGGAGGAGGGAAGAATTGTGCTGGATAATATATTCCATTGTATAGAACTAGCTGGAACTCTTTAGCTGATGACTTTGGTTAAAATTATAAAGAAAAAGAAAACTGCAACACAAAGCTCCAATGGCAAAAAGAGAGATACATAACCTAACTTTTATGAGAGTTTAATCAGTCTTTTTAATGTGATGAGGATTCTAGAGAACACCAGTTTATCATTTGGACCAGTTAATTATTGGGCTAGTTTTTGAGAGATGTGTACAGCAAATCTTCCTGAAAGAGAAAAGCTTATTTCAAGAATAGGACTTCTTTATTAGGAATTTGTACTATTCATTTCCCTAGGTGAGAAAAAAAGTGAATCCTTGCATGATCCAATTTCAATAACTGGTTGAAAATGAGATTTTGAAAACTCTTCTGTCTTAATTGATAATACCATATGAAGTAAGTAACCTGAAGTTGAACAACCTGCTTTTCTTTGCTTTTTTGAAAGTAACACCTCAAGTATGTATAAGCGCAAACCTGCCTGTATTCACATGCCTGTTATGATTTGATCAAGTTTTCCATATTTGTGTGTTTCAAACCTCTTGTCGGTATTTTTATTAATGAAAGGAAAGCGAGTTCGTTCAAAAATATCTCCTACCTCCACCAAATATACTGCTGGGCTATCAGATGATCTATAAAGAAAAAAAACTTTCTGGTGACATACCTATGGAAATGTAAGGCTAAGTTTACTGTTTCATTCTTTCAAAAATTCAAGGATTTCATTAGCAGATAAGGGAAGAGACATCCTTGTTGGGCACTTGACACTTTCCTAAAACTGTAATAAAATCCTCCTCTGGTAGAGCCAGACTTTCATGCTGGTGGATTCACCAGACTGGGGAGCTGCCTGACCTTCCCTGGGCTGCCACTGGCCTTGTCATTTCACTGCTCATTAGTACGCCCCCCGGGGCTGGACTGGATCTCTAAGATCATCTTTCTAGTCAGTGCTACCCTCTCACACCAGTGAAAGGGAAGAGGAGGTAGAACTCAGTTCAACCTTTTCTGCTGCTTCATAGCAGCTCTGATAAAGGATGTGGATAAGGAAGGGGCTTAAGCTGTTGGTTAAAAGGTTTGGGGATTAACTGAGGATTTAATTCATCCTTTGGTTCCCTCCCCCTGCAAAAGCAGATAGTTGAGAGTTGGCAGTATGTCAAAACCAGGCTGTTCTTCAACCCCAAATTTCAGCTCCACTCATCATCCCTCATCCTGGTGTCTTTGTTATGTGTTTCTATTTAAACTAGGGGATCTAAATTTCTAATTGTGTCTTTAAAATTAGTAAGCCTTGCCACGGGGATTACAATTGAGATGAATGAAAAAAAATGTACAAAATGATGTAAAAATACACTATTATATTATAAAAAATAAATTAGTAATCCTTGGATGTTTAATGTGTCACCTTACAAAAAAAGCAACTCGAGTCATTAATAGACAAAGTAATTGTTGCCGCTCTGTATGTTGAATGAGAAATGTTCAAAAAATGTATATAGTCTCTCTTTTCCAAGTCAAGGGGGAAAATAAAGAGGAATTTTATGGAAAGGAATAAAGCAGTTGTACAGAACACATTTAAAAGGCACATTAAGTCCGTTTTTGTCTATGGTTCTTTTCCTTTATGGCATATGTTATATATTGACAGGGATTAAGTTTCTCTCCTGAATGGAACAATACAGAGTCACAGGGAGCTACTGTACTTTACAAAAAAACAGGCATCAGCATAAGCAAACGGCAAATAGAAATATAGCTCACAAAGAACTAACCAGGTTTGTTCAAAGCACAGGATTTGGCTTCGTCTTTTACAATTCTGCATCTGTTGCATTTCTTTTCTCACTCTGCCACCCGCTCTACGCAACTTTCTTTTTTCGTCCTTTTCCCCCTTTTTCTCGCTCCACTGTTACACTTTCTCTGTCCCCCTGGCTTTGTTATTCAGCATGTCTGATTAGCAGGAACCTGATTGGCTGGCTGCCTGCTCCAAGACAGATTCCATTCAGCTTACCCCCCACCCATCCACCCACCCACCCACCCCTCGGTCAGGAAATGTGAGCGGGGCTGATGGAAGCTGATAGGCAGGGCTGGAGTGTTAGCACCAGTACTGAATGTGACAGCAGGCAAAGGAGCACTTAGCAGCTTATTCAGTGTCCGATTCAGATCCCGGCAAGGATCCAACCATGGAATGCTGCCGTCGGGCAACTCCTGGCACACCGCTCTTCTTTCTGACTTTCCTGCTCCTGGTAAATGCCTTTTCATTTTAATATGTTGCTATTTGCCATTTAGGTGTTGTTGGGGTGGTGGTGGTGGTGATGGTGGTGGGAATGTGGTGGTGGTGGTGCTGATAGTGTGTGTGTGTGTGTGTGTGTGCACGCGCGCGTGAGTGCGGGCTTGTGTGTGTCTCTTTATATTCAAACGCCAGGTAAAATAATTTACATGATTTATGAGAAAATAAAACTAACTGGTTTTAGAACTGTAGCAGCATCTTCCTAAGCCAAATAAATTCTGCAAGACTTTATGGAGTTAGAGGTATCTAATAATACTGAGACCTGAACTTTGAGAGAGTGTGCATCGTGTCTGTGAGCCGAGGAGCCAGTATTAGTGGTGATGTTTAGCCTTAGACTTGGGGTAACAGACATTCTGAAGTCAAACACGTCTCACTTTGGTGTTCCTAGAATTTTTTGAAGGATGGTCTGTGAGGGACTATCCCCCTGCCTTCGTGAATTCTCTCTGTGTGTGCACATGTGCTACAAAGCAGGTAACAGAGGCAGTGAAAGCCTCTTAGCAGCTAACCCAGATTACAGTTCATAATTACTGCAAGTCATCTATGGATACAAGTTAATGCTCGTATTTATGAATTGAGGATTATGGTCTTTGATCTCAGATCTACTTTTGAAGAAGAAAATGATGACTTTCCGAACGGCTGCTTTCCACAGTCACAGTGATAAGATGCTCTGCTCTTGAACATCAGCACACACTGCATTTTTGACTCAAAGTAAATGTTCCGTTGTGACTCATACTTGGTTTTATGGGCAGAAAATGAACACTTACTGTCCAAAAAAAATCTACACTCAAAATATTAATAGCAATGCACATTTTTTTAAACCAGAGTGTTCTGGGCAGGCAGCTTAGTAAACCTCATCTGAAGGTTTGATTCCAAAATTTGCACACACTGATTCCAAACAAACGTGACTGTAACTCTCCCTGTCCCACGTGTGGCAGGCCAGAACTTCCTCAGAAGGTAACCAGGCGAGAAGGGAACAAGGTAAAAATGCAATGAATGTATATGGTGTGTTGAATCTTTGATGGTGAAGGAATGTTTTGTTCTGGCTAGGCTGACAAATTTGATCTGTGCTGTAATTTTGAAGAAGAGAAGCAAAACCATTTGGTACAAAACCAAGAAGCTCCATCAGTTAGAAAGACCAGACAGTGATTAGTTTACATATTCCTATTTCTTAAAAATTAACATCTTGTACCGCTGAAAACATAGTTCTACATTATAACTGCTGTAAATATAGGAATATACGTTCAGGTTTTAAACACTTAAAGAAACGTAAAGAGCAACTGGACTGTGAGCATGAATAAACTAAGTTTTAGCTGTGCTGAGGAATATAAACAACAGAATGTTTAGGTGTGCATTATGACTACAGCAGCGAGCAATTATGAAAGGGGTCTCATTTTTTCCATTTGGGACATGTTACTTATATACATACCATTAGTTTACCTCACTTTTCCCACTTTGTGACTCTTTTAAGAGTTGTGTTATTTTCCCATTAAATTGCATCATAAAGCAAATTACCGGTACATTGCTTTTTTGGTATCTTCCTAAAGAAAGTATGACCTCATTATACTTTGGAAACCTTGCCCAATCAGGAATAGTTGTTTTGCTAAGCATTTGGCAAATGTATTATACCCTTTTTGATATCCTAAGTCTTCACTTGTGCATGTGGGCATATAGTTAGACTTGTGGGGATAAAAAGGAGTATTTGCTTATTTCAGGACTTAAGCTATATTTTGTTTTCACTTGTAATTGTTGTATTGTAAAGATAAAATGAAATCAAACCCTTTTGTTTTATGTCTCCATATAAATGAACTGTGATTCTGAATGCTATGCTAGACAATAAAGAGAACTTGAGCGCCCCCGTACATTCCTGTGCAGAGCAATAACATCATCAGTAATGCCCACCATGAACTGTGTGTTTAACTGTGCCAACCACAGGCCCAATATGGAAAAAGCACTATAATCTGTCTTACCAGTAACCTTGCAAATAAGGCTTAAACCCATTTTACAGATAAAAAATCAGGTTACATTTGAACCCATAAGTCAGATATGAAGAGATTATAACTTTTTTACTTTATTCTGTGGTTGTAAAATGTTTAGTAATGATGTAAGCAATGGTATAGATTGATCTGTAGTCATTAGTGGAGATATTTAGGCTTTTTGCATCTTCTTGGCCCTTAAAAATATATACTTAACTGGCCCTTTTAGCTTTGTAGCCAAAACTAAATTATTGATCTAAGACAAAATGACCATTAGCCGGCTCAGCTGCTGACTTAGAACCAGAAGTATAAAGTCTGTGCAACACTGTCTGACAGAGAAATTGAAATGGGCAGCTTGTTTTTCCTATATTTGTACATTTTACAATAGGTTGTTTGCTCCTAGAAGTAATTTAAGTAACTTCAAAAGTTCCCTCTTAAGTTAAAACATCCTGTTTGTTTAGCGGCAAACTCAGTTTCGGCATCAAAACAGACTTCTATCACTGACAGCAGAGTTATCTGTACCATGCCAGGGTTCAAGAATGTGTACAGACAGATACCCAATGCTGTTTACCCTCAGTTTTTCCCAAGTCCTTTCCCCTTGGAACATTATTCCTGAGAGAATGAGAACCCTGTATCTTTTTTTTATTTTTAAAGATTTATTTATTTATGCATTCAGTACTGGGGTACAGGCCAGAGGTGCAGGGGCAGTGAGAGGATTCACCAGAGACAGAGTGGGGAACAGAACAGGCTGACTGACAAAGTACACTGCTGAGGGGAGCAGCAGGTGGGACAGGAGAGGTCTGCCGGGCCAGGAGAGGTCTGCCACACCATGTGGATCACCTCCGTGGCAGGGATCAAACTCAGGCTGAAGTGTCTTTAGCTTCTTAGTGCAGTGCTTTAACCTGCTGCACCATCAGGGAGGGCCCCCTATATCTTCTTTATCTCTATTACATTACCACCCATATTTTTATACAACTCATGCAGCACAGACTTCTCTTTTATTCTGGACATAATGAACAGTTGGTCTAGTCAAGAGATTTCATCCTAATGCTCAGGTTCAATTTTGCCACATAACTCAATCTTCCCCATCTTTCCACCCTGTTCCCCTTTAACTTTCTCCCCCCTTTGTCTCAATTGTTTAGTTCAAAAGAAATGTAGCAAAACCATGACCAGACATTGACATATGTGTCCATCGAAACCTGAAGTCAAATCACCTCTTGTCAGAAAGGCATTCAATCAAATTTGCATTTGCTTTTTGTTTCTTTTAAGTGGTTTTAAGCTCTTTTGCCTACTATTATGGGAGTTGCAAGAACAACACTCGGAATTATAATAAAGTACATGTGTTTTTCTGTTGAATTTCTTTCGCTTCTCTGCACTAATTTATACATGGAAACTAGTCAAACACAATAGCCCATTCCCTTCAGTCTCTCTGGCACTCTCCTCCACTATTATCTAAGTGGATCTATCTTGGATGGCGAGAAACACCATTAGTTTGTGGGATGAATGTTAAATCCCTTATTTACAGCAGATTGTAACCTGCTCTGTAAGAGTGCATGTGGTGTGTGTGTGTGTGTGTGTGTGTGTTCTTGTGCATGTACAAGTAGTGTTCTGTGACTGTTAATTCTACACCTATTTTGATTTGTATGCCTCATTTGTCTAAATCAAGCTTAAGGATTTTTCGCACAAATCTACAGAAGAATCATTTCTCTGAACATTCATTTCTTCATGGTTTTCTAAAGGTTCTTGTCTAGACATGGGCAGTGACAGTTTTGTTTTTCTCAGGCTCCAGTATCCAGTGTTTCTCTCTGTTCAGGATCACACTCTGACCCTGTTCTTATTCACTTATGAATCAGTTCTATGGCTTCCTATAAGCTGAGAGAAGTCTGTCCAATAGTGGTCACTAGTGAACTACAAAAGAATCCTGTTACACCAGGAAAATTTCCCTTGAAAGATTACCTGGATATTGAAGACTTTAGAGACAGAGGGAGTAAATGAATGTATTATTTGTGCCTTTATATGACTGTTAATATATGTTGATTCCCCTTAATCAGAATATGTGAATACAGTAGAGAACAGCCCTATGAACATTCCATGATAGGCTATTACTAAACTTTATTAATGCAGAGGCTCACTATTCTATCCTAAAATAAAATTAAATTCGGGGGAGAGGGTGTCATTTTTTTTTTTAAGATTTATTTATTTATGCATACAGAACTGTGAAACAGGCCAGAGGTGCAGGGGTGGTGAGAGACTTCACCAGAGACAGAGTAAGGAGCAGAACAAGCAAATCAAGGAAGTACAATGCTGAGGGGAACATCCGGCAAGTCAGGAGAAATTTGCTGCGCCATGTGGGTCACCTCCAGGGCTGGGGACTGAACTTGCACTGAAGCAGCTGCAGCTAGCTTGTAGTGCTGCGTCGTAATGTGTTGTACCATCAAGGAGGGCCAGGGTTGTGCATTTTTAATAAGTTAACAAGGATTAACCCCTGTATTTTTTAAAATCCAATTTATTCTCATGAATTTTACATAAGAATTATGTTGGATGAGACGTGGCCTGGTGTTGGTTTTCCCCTTTATTAACACTTAATCACATATAATTTAAAGCTCTTTCAAAAAATTACAGTGTGCTGTGAATCTCTGCTGCTCCTGCAGTACCTACAAGAGCGCCTTGTACATATGGGCATCATAAGTAGAATAAAATTAAGAGCAGAGAGGATGTATAGGAGCTGGCAGATGGCTCTCTAATTCGCCACATATTCAGTGTTCCCTGGATTTATGTAAATAGCCCAGTGTCTCCAGTCAAATGGGAGCTTTGCTTTTAATTTGCTATTTTCAGGTTCCAGCAATGACACTTTCTCATGTCTGATTGTTCTGACATGTTTCAGTCTCTTCTTTCCTCATTATGCATATTCCACTATTTCTTGTGGTCTCATGATCAGAGTGACCCAGAAGTGACCCCTGCATGAGCACCACAGTCTGGTCTT